TAGTGGTAATGATAGCAGCTAGCACTTTTGAAAGCACATCATATGTATTATCTTATTGACTTCTCAAAAGAACTCTATGAAGCACATACTAAATTATCTCCATTTCGTATAAGGAAACAAGGTGCAGAGTAGTTCAGCAAATTGCTAGTATTTAGTGGGGGCTGTCTTCAAACCCAGTCAGCCCGCCTCCAGAGCCTGCACTCTTAACCACCATGATCTATGGAGAGAAGTGATTATAACCCAGAGAATTTAGGAGATGTAAATGAAAGGTTTTGCTGATGGACTGGAGATGTGGGAATGAAGAAGAGGGAGGTGTGAAGAATGGCAGCCCTGGTTCAGGTGAACAGGGTCCCCCTCCCTAAGATGAAGAACATTTGAGGAAAAGCCGGTTGGAGAGGGGAGCAGTTCACAAGTTCAGTTTTGGACCTGTCAAGGGCAGTTAAGATGCTCTAACATTTTCACATGAAAATGTGGAGTAGACTTTTTGATACACGATTCTGGAGGAGAGAACGGCTCTGGAGATGGACATTTGAGTGTTGTCAGCGTCTGGGTGGTGGTTGGAGCCCCGGCTATGGGTGGTGAGATCATTAATGAAAGCGTCCTGAATAACGTCATGGTCCATTCCACAAATATTTTGTGGAGTACCCCATGTACCTGGCACGATCCTGGTTATGGCCTGGGGGTATTATCATCATACTCCAAAACAGAATGAGCTTGACATTGACTCACACTGATGAATGAATCTTTACAAGAGGCAAGTGTTCTGACAGGGAGAAGGAGGGTCTGTGAGAGCATAAAATACAAAAGAGTTTGGTCTAAACGTCAAGGAACATCTTTGCTCTTCAGGGCCTGTTTGTGGATTCTGTGTCCAGCTGCATACAGGTCCAGATCCAGCTTCTGTGCCTGAGACTCTTGGGCCCCTGCCACCCTCTGACTCCTTCCTGTACCCTCCTTCCCTAGCAGAGCTTTGTGCTTTGACGGGTTTTTCTACTTCCAGGTCCTGTCTTCTTTCACCATCCTCCCTGTGCTCAGCTAGCCAAGCACTTGTCCTTCCATAAGAACATGTCTGAAATGCTGACACCCCCACTTAGCTGTGTCTGATTCAGTAGAAGTGACAGAGAATCACTTTTGGCACAGGCCATGGTATAGCACCTCTCCCAAACAGAGTTACTGCATGTGCACTTGCTGATTTCATGTTTTCCTTCTTACTCTCAACGGCTTTCTATGAGAATGTAATTGCCTTGTGATGTTTTCTCCGGGCTGTTAAAAGCTCTGTAAACAACGCTGGTCCTTGTGCCTAGGATCCCACAGAAATCAGACAGGTGTTGAAGGGAACTGAGCAAGTGCCAGATGAGAAATGTATTTTGCTCTTCTTCATTTTCCATTTCCCTTTTGTTTGAGATTCATAGGAAATTGTGTTTGGGAGCTCTGAATCTCTGTTGCAAGTGGAGGCTTATATCATTATATCCTTCTCCAACATGCTAATTTGCTTGTCTGGGAAAGAGGTTAAGATAACACTTTGTAAACAACTAGCAGAGTGCTACCCAGACATGCCCACACAGGGCATCTCTCTTTGACTCTTAATAGCTTCTCCTTCATTCCCGTTCTCCCTCTCTCTCTCTCTCCTGCTTTCCCCCTCCCTTCCCCTTTCTCCTTCCCCTCCTCTCTCATTCTTTTCCATGTAGGTTGACCTTACATGCTGATTTGTGTCAGACGGTCCTGGTTTACACACCCTGTCCAAAGATGATTATGAACGGTGCTCCTGCCAATCTCAAGAGCATCATGATTCAGAGGATAAATTACATGGTCACCTACTTCTACTTCTAAGTGCCACATTCACTCCTCTCTTTGCCTGGCATACTGACTTGCTGGCTCATGGTGTTTTTCTCTCTCTGGCTGATGTCGGCTGACCCACTCTCTGCATGGGCCTGTCTGTTCATCATGGGACTTCTGTGTCTCACACAGGAGGGCCTCAAGCAGAGAAGTAGGTACTTGTCTGTGATAGGGTGTGGTTAGGAGGGTGCTGGGGGGGAGGGGAACCCCACCTCCAAAGTCCTGTTCCTCGGCTGGCCTCTATCATGCTGAAAAGCCATGTTCAAGATTCATCCTCGTTTTGTCCTGAAGCGTCCCTCTGCTAAGAATCCACATTGACATCCCCAGGAAGGACGGAGCCTGAGCCAACCTTTGCCCTGCCCTTCGCACCAGCTGTGTCCTGCCCCTCAAAGCAAGGCTTCCAGGCTGCGGGGTTGGCCTGTGGTGCTTCTTGCCTGGTGTGTGAGCAAGGCAGAATCCGGCCCCAAGTGAAGCCTGTTCTGCACACACTTGTACTCACTGGCCTCCCCTATAAATCCAGGGGTCATTTTTTTTTTCAAGATTTTATTTATTTGACAGAGAGAGCGTGGGCATGCACATGATCGGGGGAGGAGGGGCAGAGGCAGAGGGACAATGAGACTCCCCATTGAGCAGGGAGCCCCATGCGGGGCTCGATCCCAGGACCCTGGGATCATGACCTGAGCCGAAGGCAGATGCTTAACCGACTGAGCCACCCAGGCGCCCCAACAGTAGTCACTATATATACAATACATTGAAGAATATTCTCAGAAAGGCACATTTCAGATCTTGAGACCCATTGTCCCTGGCCGATACTTAATTAGTTTCAAGTTTAAACCTATCACTTAACCAGACACAGGGGGCTATGGACTGAATGTTTCTGTTCCCCTGCAACCCCACACATTCGTATGTTGAAACCCTAACCACCAGCAGGATGGGATTAGGAGATGAGGCCTTGGGGAGGTGATTAGGTTTAGATGAAGTCATGAAGGTGGGGCCCCCAGGATGAGATTAGTGTCCTTTCAAGAAGAGGAAGAGACCAGAACTCTGCCCGCCATCTGTGAGCCAGGAAGAGAGCTCTCACCAAGAATCGAATCTACTGGCACCTTGATCTTGGACTTCCAGCCCCTGGAACTGTGAGACATAAATGCCTGCAGTCTGCGGCACTCGGTTACATCAGCCCAAATTGACTACAACACGGAGCCAGCAGCTCCATGCACCCAGAGGAGGTCTTCAGCGGGAAGTTCACGGTGTCCAGTTCTTTGTTTCCAGAACAATCCCTTGCTGCCCTCCTTCAGATGTCTCTAGGGGCAAGACCACAAGGTTGCGATGCGAGAGGAAGGAAAGGCATGATTACCCGTCCTGGGAAGTTGCTGTTTCTCAAAAAAAGGTTGCCCTAAGAAGAATAAACAGAGCCACGCAAGGCTAGCCCGCCATATGTGAGGACCGTCCCTGAAAACCTGAGGGGGAAAGAGTCCAGCCAGGAGACCACAAATCGTTACCACAGAGCCACTCACAGTGGTATCAAAAAGCAGGCCCGTGGGCAAGCACCTCCCCCTTCGTGCACCCCCTCCCCACTTCCTGTGCGTGCCTCCCGGCCGGCCCAGCCACCCACAAACACCTGCAGAGGCCAGTGCCAGGCGAACACGCCGAGTTCTGAGCCTCTCTGTATTTATCTGCATGCCTACATTCATTATATCGACAAATTCGCAGGCAGGTGCCTATGCTTACATTTCTTTTTTTTTTTTAAAGATTTTATTTATTTTTTTGACAGAGACACAGAGAGAGAGGGAACACAAGCAGGGGGAGTGGGAGAGGGAGAAGCAGGCTCTCCGCTGAGCGGGGAGCCCGATGCGGGGCTCGATCCCAGGACCCTGGGATCATGATCTGAGCCGAAGGCAGACGCTTAACGACTGAGCCGCCCAGGCGCCCCAAGCTTACATTTCTATTTTTAATCCTGCAGTTGCGTTGCTGAATGCCCCTGTTAGATAGAGGCTTTTGTCCCATCAAAATGAATGCTCTCAGAGTGATAAGTAATGCTAACTTTTATTATTCTTCAGTCCCTTTTTAAAAATTATCCCTTAGGTGTGTTGAGAACTGGGGACTTGTAGAGCTATTGTATTTGTTTCCTAGGGCTGTAGAAACCAGTTACCCACAAACCCCGGGGGCTTTAAACAGTAGAGATGTGTTCTTTCACGGTTCTGGAGGCCCGAAGTCCCATATCAAAGGGTTGGCGGGACTCGAAGGCAGAATCTTCCCTCGCCTCTTGGGGCTTCTGGGGCTCCAGGCTTCCTTGGCTTAGGGCTGGAGGACTCCAGTGTCTGCCCCTACCTTCATGACCCCTTCTGCTCTCCTCTCCATGTGCCTTTCTTCAGTGTGTCTTTTAGAAGGACACCTGTCATTGAATTTAGGAGCCACCCAGAGAGTCTAGAGTGATCTCCTCTTGAGATCCTTAACTTAAGTACATCGGCAAAGCCCCTTTTTCCAAATGAGGTTGCATTCACAGGTTCTGGGGGTTAGGGCATGGACTATCTTTTTGGGGTCATCATTCAGCCCTTTGCAGCCATCAGTTAGGATCACAGTGTCTGTTGCTGGTACCCCCATTCCGGTGTACAGAGACCCATGTGTACAGTACGCAGGTGAGTGTGAGCACTTTGCACACATAAGCACGCCCATGCTGAAACGAGGCTAGTTGTTGGGAAATGACACAGAACAGGGGCTGGTGCCACTTTTCCCCACTGCTGTCCGGGATCCTCAGTCTCTGGGCAGCCTGTGGCTGGCCTATGCCCTGGTAGGATGTTTCCTGTGACACTGTCAGGCTATGTGACACCACAGGCCGGTCCCTTGACCGGAGCTCATCCAGTCATATGACTTGAAATTGGTGACCGACTTTGTAGCGCCGGTTCCAGGACCTCCTCCCGTGCCTCTGGCTCGCGCATCCACCTGCCGGCTTGCTGTCTCCACTGAACAGCTGACTTGCGCGGGGAGGATCACACTCAGAATCCCCTCCTCAGCTCTGCTTCTCTTCCCGTCTTTCCCAGCTCCCGTAACTGCAGCTCTGTTCTCTCTGTTGATCGTGTCTCAGGCTGTAGACCTCAGGGTCATTCTTGAATTCTTTCTTTCTCTCACACTCTGTATTTAGTCCATCAGGAAATCCTGTCAACCCTGCCATCAAAACACACCCGGATTCTGACCAGTTCCTTCTCACCACCTGTCACCCGGAATGACACTCTGGCCTTCTCACTGCTTCTGCCCGCTGCGGTCCATTCTGCAAGGAGCGACGGCGGGGACTCTTTAAAACATCGGTCAGCTAGAGAGATATGTTTGAGGTATAGGTTAGAGCATATTTCACTGCTCTCATTTATTTATTTATTTTTCTCACCACTCTCCTTTAAAGATTTGTTCATTTTTGAGAGAGAGAGTGAGAGTGGGGGGAGGGGGGCGGGACGGAGGGAGAGGGAGAGAGAGAATCTCAAGCAGAGTCCCCACTGAGTGCGGAGCCTGATGGCAGGATCAATCTCACAACCCTGAGATCATGACCTGAGCTGACACCGCGAGTCCAGTGCTTAACCAACTGAGCCACCCAGTTGCCCATCACCGCTCTCCTTTAAACTCTCCAATGGCTACCTGTCTCACTCAAAATAAAATCCAAAGTCTTACCTCAGCCTACAACGGATGTTGACAAACAATGGCCTGCAAGCCAAATATGGCCCACCACCCATTTTTGTAAATAAAGTTTTATTGGGACACAGCCACACTCACTTGTTTACATATTGTCTACAGCTTTTGAGCTACAACAGCAGAGTTGAGTAGGTGCGATAGAGACCATGTAGCCCTCAAGCCTAAAATATTTACAATCTGGACTTTTACAGAAAAGGTTTGCCACGCCCTGGCCTACCTCTCTCTGACCTTTCCTCCTGTCACTTTCCCCAGGCCTCTCCACCTCAGCCCCCCAGCCTCTTCACAGTTGCTCAAATGCACCAAGCATGCTGGGCTGCACATCTTAGGGACTCCGTACGATATGATTTCTTTGCTTGGAAGGCTCTGTCTTCATAAGCCACCCTTCTCTCTCTTATTTCCTTTGGGGATCATTCAAATGCCCCTTTATCAGAGAGGACTTTGCTGGCCATCCCCATGTGAAATAGCAGCCCCCTCTCATTCTGGTACCTGTATCTGCTTTGTCTGTCTTCTTAACACTTAGTAGAACCTGAGATATTATTATACGTATATTTTGTTTAACACCGCCCCGCAGTAGAAAATAAGCTCCAGGAGAGAGGGACTTGTTTTTGTTTCCCCGATTTGCTGAGTTAATTAATGAATAGTTGTCTAACAATGGATGGATGGTTGGATGGATGGATGATGGATTCCAGTTATAAAGCCAACAGAGATTTACTGGCTAGAATTCTGTGTCTCAATTCCAAATTCCAGCAGGGAAGAGAGAGCTTCTGATAGATCTGGTGTCTACAGGGGGTAATGTCTTTGGCCTGTGGCAGTAAATGCCCAAGAGGTACTGTAAATAGGGCCAGCAGACTGGTTCATATAACCACTACCATGGTCTTCCTACATGAGGCAGATGATCTGAGTCAGCAGGAAGTTTTTTTTTTAAGATTTTATTTATTTATTTGTCAGAGAGAGAGAGAGCACAAGCAGGGGGGCGGCAGGCAGAGGTAGAGGGAGAAGCAGGCTCCCCGCTGAGCAAGGAGCCCCACGCAGGACTCAATCCCAGGACCCTGGGATCACGACCCAAGCCGAAGGCAGCCACTTAACTGACTGAGCTACTCAGGCATCCCAGCCAGGGAGTTTTTAAATACCGGTTTTCCAAGTCCCATCCCAAATTCACTGAATTAGAATCTCTGGGTACCGGGACTGGTTGCTGGCTTAAAGGACTCACCTCTGCCTGCGGAATACCCATCTGGCTCACATTCCCTGGAGGAGGTTTATCAGAATCACTTGGATGGTGGGGAGCCCCATGGTATGAGGTCATGTTACAGGGTTTAGGAATTCACAAGATACTCAGAGATTTGAAGGATCTATGAAAGAGTGGCAGGAGAAGGCTGGATGGGGCAAAAGAGAAGAGAAAGTCTGTGAGTGGGCATCAGATGTTAGAGGTGGCACCATAGTGCTCCCATTAAGCCTACCACACTTGACAGGCTGTATAGTAACTGCCTCTTGTCCGTCTCTAAACAGAGGTGGCCTCTTGGAGAGCGGGAACTATGTCCTATTCACCATTATATCCCCAGTGCCTACAGAGAGCCTAACACAAAGTAGATGTTTGTGGAATGAATGAATGAATGAACGAACGAATGAACTAATGCCTAGAGAGTACTCAAATGAGATCAGTAATCTTCCAGGTCCCTTGATATAAAGACCAAATAGGAAATTGACTGGAAGGCAGATTGGCATTCATAAATAACAGTGTGTAGGAGGGGTAATAGAATTTCAGCTGGCTCAAAATAGAATTCCCTGTGTCATCTTGGGCAAGTCTCTTGACCTCTCTGGGTCTCACTTTCTTCATTTAAAAACAGAGTCAAATTAAGTGATCTCTAAGTTTCCTTAAGGCTCCAAAGTTCCAGCCTAAGATTTATGGGCTCAATAAACATTTGAACATTTGAATGTCTGTATAATTAGAGATTATATTTTTGTGGCTACATCAGTGAGGTCTGCTTTCTAGGATCTAACAGGCAAAATATCTGTTCAACTTCATTTTCATCAGGACCTCAGTGAATTTTGGCCATTCTTCTTCAGTCTGGCTCTGTGGAATTTACTGTCTAGCCAGCATTTTAATTTTAGAGTTTTATATTTTACAAGGAGTTTATTCACCCCTTAAAAGCTGATCCCATATATAGGGTATGAGGTCTCATGAGCCAAGCACATAGGCATAAACTAGGGCATTTGTCTCAGGCTGGAAGATGATGTCTGCTCCCACCATTTAAGTATGATTTTGTTATGCCTAATCTGCACAACCAAGTCTATTATAACAGCTGATCTAAAACATTTATTTTTGAAGAGATTTTTTTTACAACTCTAAAATGAATTTATGAACGATATACATGAAAGGAAAGCGAGTGACCAGCACCTCTCATGAACAGAGATGCAAACATCTTCAACAAAATGTTAGCAGAGGGAATCCAACAGTTTATAAAATAAATGCATGTTCATCCGATATTAATAATAGCTTTTTATTTAGCACTGCTGTGCACAGGCACTATGCTAAACTCTTCACTTGTATCCCCTCATTTAATCCTCGCGAGAACTCCAGGAGATAGGAAAATGTTTACATTTTACAAATATGGAATCCAGGGCAGAGAAATTAATTTGTCCAAAGTCACAAAGCGAATCAGAAATGAAATCGTTCTGACTCCTGAGGCCATCCTCTGAACCACTACATTGTATACCAAAGTTCAAACACCGGAAACCTGGAAAAACAAAAACGTATGTGTGGATATGCCCACCCCAAAACAGCACTGTTCACATTTTAATGTACTTCATTCTGGATTTGTTTGTTTCAGTTTCTAGCCGCTACCGTTCTTTGTATATGGTTTCATGTCCTATACCTCCCATTTATTACAATAGAAGTATTTTCCAGAAGTTTCCAAGCTCCTTAGACAGTTTTTTAAAACCAGCAAATAAACCCTGTGTGGCCCTCCCATTATTTCCAGGGCCCTTTCAAACTATTTCGATTGGCTGCTTGCTGGGGGGGATTTTGCTACTTAAAAAATGTCTACAGTGCGTTTCTGAGTACACAGGGTATTTCTGTATTTTGAGTCATTTCTTCAGTACCTGCTTTGTCCTGGTCTGCTCTGGGTGCTATAACAAAATACCACAGACTGGGAGGCTTAAACAACTGGAAATTTATTTCTCATGGTTCCAGAGGCTGGAAGTCCAAGATTATGGTTGGGTTCTTGCGACGGTCCTCTCCCAGCCTGCAGAGGGCCACTGTCTTGCTGCGTCCTTACATGGCAGAGAGCGATAAAGAGATCTCGTCTCCCTCTTGTCTCTCTTAAGGGCACTAATCTCATTCATGAGGGTTTTCAAGAACAGAACCCTTTTCGGATTGTCACATTGTCATCATAGTCAGGATGACTGGGCCACGGGGCGAGGCATTTACTGGGCGGCAGCCTTGGGTGTTGAATGGTACCACACCGCCCAGAATCATCGAGCCCCGAGTGCCAGGTGCGCCCATTGAGACTCACAGGTGTGAGTTATGAAGCATTACAGTGACATGAGCGCCCGGGACCCATCCCCCTGGGTGAGAAATAAAATGTCACCAATCATGTTGAAGTGACCCGTATGACGCTACATGCCACACACGAATCATAAAATCATTCCTTAAAGGGGCATTTTAGCAGGGGGACTGTTTTGAAGAAGTACATGAAGTCCACCTGGTACTTTCCCATAATGACCTTCACTCCTCCCAAACCTCAGCTGGGCATCAAGAACCCTTCCTTGTGGCGTATTAGTAAATCCAAACATTTGACAGAACAGTCTTCTTTTTAACACAATATTTTTATTCCTCAGAGATACCTCTTATGTTCTGTTCAAGTCATTTAAAGAGAAGGCGTCTTGTTGCCTTTTTGACCTGTTTTGTGCGCTTCCTCAGAGCTTTACTACCTGCTGTACAGGGAAAAGGAAGGAGCCTGCTGTAGTGAGCTCTTGCCTTAGGGCCATAAAACCCTTCATGGCTTTCTTGCTCCAAGCAGAAGGAAGTCCTTTTTCTCTGCATCATTTCTTCCCAGCCAACTTCTTACCTGACCATGACCTGACATCCTACAAGGCTCATTTATCACACTTCAGCCTCCTGCTGCTGCTAATACTGGCTTCAGCTTGGAAACAAGATCAGAAATGACTTTCTTCAGTCGTTTGTGCAGAGCTCAGTGGCTGTTGGGATACTGGCAACCATGGCGCCTTTCTCTTACCTCCGCCACTGCTGTGGGGGTGTGTCTCCAAAGGTTCCCGCTCAGGCAGGGAGAATCTGAGGAGCTTCTGGCCCAGGCACCCTTGGACTCCATTTCAGGCTCTCAAATTTATATCTCAGTTATAGACTTCTTGAGTCAATTAATCCAACTCCCCAAGTTGGCCTGCCTCTTCTGATCCCATGCCTCTGCCTTCTCCTTTGCCTGCCCGTCATGATCATGGTCACCATCTACTGAGACCTACTCTGTGCCAACCACGGTGCCAAGCTCTTTACATTTCTGTAACCCACATAAAGCTGGCTGGCTTGCTTTTTCCTTGAGGCCAAGCTCAGGACAGTGTCACATTCCAAACGATATTAGTCTATCCTCTAAAAAGAAGTGAAAATTTTATTCTCTTCAGGAGAAAAACAC